CCTTTTAATCACAAATTCAGATTTGTTTTAATTTACTTTTCTTTGTAGTGCCATGTTGGTTATTTCCCTCTTTACTGCTATCTGCAGTTTTTGCTTCAAATTCCTGACTAGCACCCCTCTTTCCCTCCTGTATGCTGTCTTCAATCCCTGTTTCCAGAGCTGCATCGGGGCACCCATCACCCCCAACCGTTATCACAGTTTATCGTCCCTGAATTCCTAACCAGTAATTTCATTCATCCCCACTATCCTGGCCTCAATCGCGCCCTCTGAGCTGTATTTGGGCAACTACTACCAACACCATTCAACCACATCCAACCCTCCCACTCACCACCCACCGGCCACGCAATCCAACCGCCAGACACCGAGCAACGCTACCCAGCGCGTCTGGCAATGTCCCAGGGGGCGGGGCCGCAAAATAGTGTTGGCAAAGATGTTAGAACAAAGCACTGGAAAGCCCAAACACCATAGATCATCAGCCGAGCTGGGCCGAGTTTTTGTAGTTGCGGGTTAAAAGCTGTGCGGCAGCATCCCGGGCATCTCTGCCTCTCCCTTCCTAGTAATTCAAATTGCTTAGGGTGAAAAGATGTTCACAGGTGTGCGCGGAGATGCCGAGCACATGCACGGGGGAATATTCGAGGTCGTGCATCGTCTACCTCAGATCCGTGCCCCCTCGTTTCTGTGTTTTGTACAGATCTTTTGCTTGTAAGTGCGCACTCCAGCTGGGTTTTAATGTGGATGACGAGGAGCAGCCTCGGTCGGCAGTAAAATGTTGTCGCGATTTGTTGGTAGAGCTGAGACAGTCTCTATCGTCTGCAGCAATAATCCCACTGTTGCTGGGGAAGGCGCCACTTGGTTGATGATGGAAGACGCAAGTTTCGTTGTTAATGGAAGGCGTCCTCCTTGTCGGTTCGAAAATGTTTACACTAAAAAGTTTGCCGAAAAAATTGGTCACCGAATCCATCTGGAGCCTTGCCCCGCTCCAGCTGGGTTCAGCTTACAAACAAATTTCGTACATAATTAAGTGTTGATGCCTTTAGTTTACAAAAGCGATTGAGGTCATTTAGAATAACTAGGCAACTCCACAAAGTCGGAAAAATCTGCTTTCAACACAGCCGCTCCCTTTCTTCCTTCCCCACCTCCTTCTCATATCTTTATCCCCAGTCACCGCAGTTTGCCATTCACTTCGGCCGAGTTGAGCTTAGTAGTTGCCGCGTTCCAGTATTTCCGCTTGATTTGCTAAAAATCTGCATGCTGGCGCTTGCTGATGAGCCTGTTTTCCCACGTAAAATTCAATGGGACCGAATTCTGTGATTGTGAGGGGTTGCTTGTTTTCGCAAAAGTGAAGGCGATTGCAGGAGAGCGGAAATGTCGGGCGACAATCCGAATGATTTCTATTTGCGCTACTACGTTGGGCACAAGGGGAAGTTTGGGCACGAGTTCTTGGAGTTCGAGTTTCGTCCGGACGGCAAGATGCGGTACGCGAACAACAGCCAGTACAAGAACGACACGCTGATCCGCAAGGAGGCATACGTGGGCAAAATCGTGCTCGACGAGCTCAAACGCATCATCGATGACTCGGAAATTATGCAGGTACGGCCTGAAACGCTTCTGCAGCATCCTGTGGGAATGGATAGGAAGTCAGAAATATGATAGTAACAGAGTTCCACTTCTCTGAGAGGAGAAGGTACTGGGAAATAACGCCAGTGTGGTAGGCACTTGCCCGTAGCGATTAGCCGTTGGTAAGGCTGTCGATGGCTCTCTTTTTATCTCAGAGTTGCTTAGATGGCAGTTCCCTAACATGTGGCAATGCTAGTTAGCATTGAATTGGATAGATGAGTCGTAGAGGGATTGGCCGTCTCACCGGCAAACGCTCAAGAAAAATCTGCTCTTCCTATAGTGTGTGTTTTTTCGTCGCCGTTGGAGTTCTCTATGCACGCCATATGCACGAAGCAGCAGTTTCTGGCCCTCACTGAGTTTGAGCAGAAATTACTGATCTTGCTGGGTCGCTTCGTGGATTGTGCCTCCGGTTGGGCCCTTATCTGGGTTACTTCATGAGCCGGTTATTAGCCCAATTTGTTTCGCTGAATCGGTCTGAGCTTACATCTCAGGAGCGATGATCACCCCTCTTGCTATTTGCTTGGTTGTCATTATTTTACTAGTCGGATTTTGCGCCAAGAATTTTGTCCGAAGTGAAGGGATGTTGATTTAGGAAGATGATGCTACTTGGCCGGAGCCGGATCGTGTAGGTCGACAGGAATTAGAA